TCTCTGTGAGGACCCTTCCAGTTACCATCTCACAGCTGCTCTGGGGAAGGATGGGGCTGTCTGGAGGGGAATCACTGAATTTAGACATGGGCCCAAGTCTGTGGGTTTATCTCATTTAACTTTAGTTATCTGCAGTCTAGACATGCACCCCTGAGCCAGTTGCCTCGGGCTCCCTGGATGAAACAGGAGAGGGTTTCCTCTTACCTATTTTAGACAGTTCCTTTGGTTTGGAGTGACTCATGCCCTGAAAGTGCTTCCTTCTCCCTTCAGGTGAGGAAGGACAATCAGTGTGAAGCAGACAGATGTAGATGTTTGCATACAGACACCTAATTTTTGCCCATGGATCCCCAGATCGTGTCTCTGAGTCCTGTCAGGCAGTTCTGGGTCTGCATTTGCTCTGTATTTCTGCTGTCCCTGTCGTTGTCTGAGCAGATGATTTACAGGTGAATTTCCCACAGAAGGTTTGATCAGTTTAGTGGGTAAGTTTTGGAACACTCTTTAAGAAAAGGAACAGATTTTCCCACAAGCAGGCTTCTTACACCCAGAGGTAAAGGAAATTAAAAGCAGTCAATGACAGGGAAAACTAAGTTACTTTGCTGCCTCCAATTTCTAGAGGAGTCAGGGAGTGGAGTCCACTTTGCTGTACCTGGGAGTTCTTGGGATTATCACTGTTGTTCCTTTCTTATTTTCTCTCAACCATGGGAGAGGTTTTACAGCACTTTGCTCCTTACTGTGAATTGTAGGTATAATCACCACTGATCTCAGTGTTGCAGCATCTCTTTATTTATGCAATAACCTGGATTCAGATCCTTAATCTGAGCATCCTGGGGTGGAAATTCGTACTTACTTACTCCAGATGATAATTTAAAGGAGCAAAACGTGCTTAAACCCAGCCATCAGAGCTGTCTCCTAATCAGTTGTGAGAATTTACTCAGGTGCTGCCTCTCTTTAAGCTGCTGTGGGTCATCAGTTCCAGGCTGTCACTTCTTCCTTAAGACCCTAATATATGTGAGAATATAACACTACATAAGTCTTTAAAAATCCCTGGGTTGGCAAGTCCTCCTGCACTGATCCTGCAAAGGCCACACAGGATGTTTGATGTGTTTTAATCATGGATCATCATCCAGTTTATGTCTCTGGTGCTAATATCTAACATTTACTTCCCCTTGTTGTCATATTGGTAGCATGGGTTTGGATTCTTAGACAAGGTCCTGTAGAAGAGCAAATAATTATAATACTCCATAAACACTTCTTTTTTTTTCCCCCTTTTCCCAGAAATGCCAGAGCTTTTGTAGCTTTTGACAGTCTTATTGAAGGAAATTGTGTCACCCATCATTATATATTAAAATCCTGAGTTGGTGTTTTTCTTTGGTTCACTCTCTTTTTTTGTTCATTCTTGCATTTTTACACAGTGTTTTTTTTGGCTCAGAGGGTTTTTAGGAATAAAGCTGTGTTTTACTGAGGATATTTAAAAGGAAGAAACTGAAAAGAATCTAAAATCTAGTTTTAAGACAGAGCTGAAGGAAGTTGTGGAAGAAATCAAAGCTGAGCTTGTTGTGTAAGAAGTTCCTTCAGTCCTGTGTTCCTAAAATAATGAGTGTGGATGAAAGCCATGGACTGAAATGGGGAGCTCTCCTGACAAGGAGCCAGAAGTAGCTCCTTCAGGTTATGCTTCTGATGCTTGAAATGAGATCTGGCTGCTAAAATATTTCATTTCCCTTGTGATTCACATGAGAAAGGGTTAAGAAACTTCACCTCCACCTCAAGCAATGAGTGAAATCAAGTTCTAGAAGTTCTAGGAAGGCAAGAGAAGGAGAAACAGCCTCTGATAAACCCACCACAACTTTTACATCTTGTCTTGGCCGTGCCAGGGGGGATTAGTGAAGGGGAGGAGTTTATCAAGTTTCAGCTTCAACCATTCAAAGATAATCCCAAGAAACTGGCTTAGTGTTCACTATCAGAGCTTATGTTTACTTCTTGGATGGAAAACGTGAATCCATGTGCTCCTCAGCCCCCTGTCTGTGTGGCCACTTGCCCACAGAAAGATGTCAAAGCCCAAAACCTCTTCCTTTTCCACCCGATAAAAACAAACAAAACCCAGCACAGGAGAAAAAGAACAAAACAACAAAACAAAACAACAAAAGAGAAACAAAACCCCAAAGAAACAACAACAAAAAACCAAACCAAAACAAAAAAATCCCAGAGCTGGGGAAGTAGTAAAGTGAGTTTGTCCCAAGCTGTCTATAAAATCTACTCCAACTTTTCTAGAAGGAATACACCTAGGAGAAGGTGTTCCTCCTCTCCAAGGAAGGAGAGTTATTTAGTCCCTTATCCCAGGGAATATCCCCCTTTACAGGCAGCTCTTGAGGGGTCTTTTCAACCATGAACATTTTGGGAGGTGAATTGAGGCAGCTGAACTTGCTGCCTTGCTCACCATCACGCCAGATGTGCTTGTGACCCATCAGCACAAAAAGACAGCCTTTCTGTTTCCTAATGATGCCCCAAAACTGTGATATTTTCACATGATTTTTATTCCATCTGCCTTTGCTGGCCTGTATCAATGACAGCTGTGATATGTGAGGGTTATTGCTGTTATCACTAAGGAGGGAGAAGAGGGTTGCTGTGATTGGGTTATTTATTCACTTGTTCAGTTAATGTGCCAAATGAGCCATAAACTCGAAGTCCTCCAGTGTGAATCTGTTTGTTGACCTTGGGTGATTCAGTTAAAGGTCTGTAGGCATTCAATTCACACATCACTGACCTCCCCCGGCCAAGCAGTAGGTGTTTCAGTTTGAACTAGTCCAAGCACAGTCAGGGAAGTGGGATGAAAGCCTTCAGAGCTGATGCTTGCTAGCTCTCTGTGGACTAGGAATGGTAAAAAAAAACCATTTCAGACTGAACATAGAGCTTTGACTCAGCTAAAATTCAGGGTGATGTTTCCCATGGAGAGAGAAGCCGAGATACATCCCACTCTTTGCTTGTAGAATCATCATAAAATCATTAAGGTTGGAAAAGAGCTCTGAGATCATCAACTCCAACCACTAACCCAGCACTGCCAAGTCACCACTCACCCCTGTCCCCAAGTGCCACATTTACACAGCTTTGAAATCCCTCCAGGGGTGGTGACTCAACCACTGCCCTGGGCAGCCTGTTCCAGTGTTCACCCTTTTGGTGAAGAAGTTTTCCCTGATATCCAACCTAAACCTCCCCAGAACGACACGAGGCCGTTTCCTCTTGTCCTGTCACTTGTTATCTGGGAGAAGAGACCCCCTCCTGGCTCCCCCTCCTGTCAGGGATTGCAGAGCCAGAAGGTCCCCCCTGAGCCTCCTTTTCTCCAGGCTGAGCACCCCCAGCTCCCTCAGCTGTTCCTGCTGCTCCAGCCCCTTCCCAGCTCCCTTCCCTTCCCATGTCACGCTCCAGCCCCTCCGTGTCCTTCTTGTTGTGAGAGCCCCAAACCTGGACACAGAATTCAAGGTGTGTCCCCACCAGTGCCCAGCACAGGGGGACAATCCCTGCCCTGGTGCTGTGGCCACACCATTCCTGATCCAGGCCAAGTGCCCTTGCTAATGGGCTTGGTGCAAAAATTGCTGCATTAAAAAAAAATAATAAAATATATTGTAGAAGCAGAGAGTGCTTTGCCAGCCCTGATCGAGGTTAGAGCGATACGAATTAATTTATAAAGGGAAAATTGGAGGTATTTATAGATGTGAGATGGATTTGGCAATAGGTTAAGTCCAGAGAGTTAAAACTTTCCTTTGAAAAATGCAGATGTTTTGAAAACATTTCAGTCTTTATTTTTACAGCAAGTGTTCTGCAAATCTCTCACGCTTCCCCTCCTGCTTTTTCGAGGTTAAAATAAAAAGGCAACAAGCACCGTAAATCAAAACAAAATGAATCTATGGTATTTTAGATGAGCCAAGATCAAATTTCCAAAGATCTGTTTCCCTTTGGGAATAAGAAACATTTGAGAATGAAGACAACTCCAAACGATTTCCCCCTCTTCTCGTGTTTGGTTTTTTGTTTATTTTTAATTTGACTAGGAAGGCACATAATTAATTGTTTACACACCGCTAATCAAGGCCCATTCCCAACCTAAAGGAAATTACAATCTGAACCAGGCATGGGATGAAACAGGGAAGAGAGCTAATAGGCCAATAGGAAAGGGTGAGAATAAATTTAATGCGCTAAATTATTTTACAGTGGTAATCCAAAGGGCAATTTACAGCAAACAATTGTTCCTTCAAAGGATTTCTGGACCTTCCCTTTACAGCTCACACGTTTGGAAACGAGACAGGTTGAGAGCATGTTGGTGACAAGGGGACATGGTGATGTGTGTGAGCTCCTGGTTCCTTTTTTCAGAGTAAAAAAATCAGTATTTTCACATTTTATGATTGAGGCAGTTTGTGTAAAGAGTCCACAATTAATTACCTGAACATTTATAGCCACTGTTGTATTGCAAACACAATATAATTAAGTCTGACTGAGGAGAAACCACTTGAGGGGAAAAAAAAAAAAGTCTTGTCACTGGGAATTTCCTGCTTTTTAGCTCCTTGATCTCCTAATCTGCATCAGAGGTTTGGTTCTTATTTGATTGGGGTTTTGTTTTGCTTTGAATTAGCAAGAGGATGGGGAATAAACCCCAAAGCTCAGATCCCCCTGCTCTTGGCATGGATATTAAAGCTGCTGTCTCCCTGCCCTCCATAGCTGGTGGTGCTGGTTATCCAGGCAGGGTTCCCAGAGCATAAAGTAGCAGGATTGCTCCTGATCATCAGGGAAAAAAAATAGGCTGGGGGTTTTTTCCCTCAGGGAAATGCAGATTTTCCAGCAGGCACTGGGCTGCACTCGCTTCTCTCAGGCAAACAAAAATAAGGCTTGTTTTGTGTCACCACTGTGCAGTGGCCCTGGAGAGCTCCAGGTCACTCCACGAGGCTGTGAATCCCCAGGGATGCATCTCTGAGGGCGGGTTTTGCTCACTCTGTCCTTCTCTGCCCTCTCTGCAGGCGTCCAGCACACGGCCAGAGTGCAGCATCATGCAGGAGATCGAGGAGGAGCGGAGCCAGTGCCTGGCAGAGCTCACTGGGGATAACCAGACCGCAGGTATGGCAACGTGGGAACGCTCTCTCCTCTCCCTGACCACCAAGCCAACATCCCCCAGCCTCACATCTGCCTTCCCCAGGCCTTTTCTCATCCCTGCAGTCGCTCCAGGTGATCCTGAGCTCTTTAGGAGGGAGAGAAATAGGTGCTTCCAAAGCGCAATTCAATCAGCCAAGAGTTGGAATCACTCCCCAAGGTTCCCTTGCTGTCTCCCAGCTGGGCAAGCCTAATTTAGGTGTGTTTACACAGTCATCCATCTCTCTGAGCTGGAAGTTCCTTAACCAGTTTTTTCCCTGGCATCTGAAAGCCTGAAGTTCCCAGGTTCAAGGAACACCACAAGCCACCTTCTCCTTCCATTAAACTGCCCTCCCGTCCCCATGCCGAGGTTGCTCCAGTCCTGGTGGAGAAGCAGAGGAAGGGATGGGGTGTTCCAAGGCTGCAAAGTATCTCTGGAGTTGGGCCAGGCAGCTGAGGTCCTCTCCTTGTTCGTGGAGCACACCCCACACTGGGCAGTCCTCCTGGAAGGCTCTCCCGGTCTCCTTAATCCACTCCTGCTTCAGTGATCGGGAAAGGAGGAAGGAACTCAGCCCCAGGTTAAGGCATCCAGTTGGATCTCTCCCTCTTCAAGTGCCTCTCTCAAGTCTCCAGTCTTGTTTCTGTGAGTAAAAGAGGTGTAGGGACCAAGGTTGGGCTGTCAGGATGCCAAAAGAAGGGATCACACTGCCAGGGGAAAGGGTGGGAAGATGAGTATCCAGCTTGGTATTTACATCCCTCCTCCTGAAAGAGGAAAAAGGGGAAGAAAACCTGTCCCCATCCTCTCTCCCTTGGCATTGCTTGCAGTCAGGCCACAGGCTGAAGGAGTGTTCCATGCTGCTTAATGCTGGAATAACATCCTGGGACAAGCTGATCCCAGGAGGAGCTTTACTGGATGCGAGGAAGGGCTTTTTGGCCCCTGCTTTTATCTGCTGAGAGGCGGTTTGCTTTGATTTGGGAGCTGTTTCAAGTGTCCCTGTGCAGTTAAATGGAGCTGTTTGAAGAAATGTTCTCCTGGAATATCCAGTAAAGGGAAAAAAGTCAGGGCAGTTCAAAACATTCATCTGAAAGCCAACAAAATACTTCTTTTCGTTTTCGTGGGTATTTCAAGACACTCAATTTACACACAGTACATTAAAAGCAGAAAAATAAAATACTTGAAGTGATAAATTTTTTTTCTGCTTTGTCAAAGTGATTTTCCTCATTGGAAACTTTAATCCATAACAGCTTTTTTTTTTTTTTTTCCTCTCTAACCACCAAATTAAAGCACTGAAAACGTTTTTCCCAGTTCTGAAGTAAAGACAGGCAAAAACCCTTAATGCCCAAGCATCAGCAAGTGTAGGGAAATCCTTTGGGGGAAGTGGGGGTGGGTTCACAATGGAACACTGAAATGTTGGACTGGGAGAAGTCTACGTTTCCAGCAGTCACTGCTCATAAACAGTGGTGCAGAAATTGCAGTTGTGAGCACTGTAAACAGTTTTTTTGTCCGTGGATTGGGTTCATGCCAGATGTTTGTGCACATCAGCATGCCCTGAAGTGGTCAGTGGTGACACTGGTGTGCAACAAGGATGTGCTGGGACACAGCCAAATTTTACAGTGCAAACTCTGTGGAAAGCAGTTGGAATCCATTTACCTCAAGACATCAACAGATATTTAAAAGCTCATTACCTGACTTTAATCTACACAGCCATGGCTTGTCCTGGAGTGAACAGAAAGAAACCAGAATGTCCCAAGCGTTGGCCCCAAAAAAATGGGTGACTCTGGGTGGATCAGTTTATGGAGAAGTCTGTTTTGAAAGTGGACAGATGATTTCAAAGTGCCTACATGGGATGTGTTTTCCCTGTGGAGTGTTTAAGGCACAAGAAGGTCAAAAAAAAGGTGGTTTGTTTGTTTTTTTTCTGGAATGGGGCTCCATAACTCAATAGAGCTGAGCAAAATAAAACTTTGACAGTTGTGGGTGAGGGGGAAGTTTGCTGGGGAGAAATCTCCTGAAGGTGCTGATAGGAGATCGTATGAAGGTGATGACTGTCTCATCTGAGTGTTGCTGGAAACAAAAAATTCAGTAAAACTCACAGGAAAAATGTTATTTTAACACAGCTCCATCCCCCAGAACAGGAGGATGGAAAGCAGCCGAGATTCCCTGTGATCTGCAGTGCAATACCTTGATTTATGGCCAGGAGGTGTGTTGCCTTCTGCACATTCCACATCCTTTTGAGCAGAAAGAAAATCGCTGGAGGTTTAACAACCAATTTGTTATCCTTGCTAATTAAATGAGTGGAAACAAGGAAACACTGTTTGGGTACACTGCAGACACGAAGCTTTGTTTAGAAGCCATTATTGATTGTATTGATCAGAGGGGCTTAATCACAGCTCTAATTTGATGTGTCAGATAGATTAGTCACTCATTAAGAACACTTGATGGTGGGGCTGAGGGTGATCACTGGCTCGGGATAAGCAGGATTTCCACTGATAAACAATAACATTTCTTTTAGAGGTGTTTTGTCTTCCAACACCCATTCCTGGTGTTTATTCCTTATGGAATGGGAGAGGTGGGATTGTTCAGCCTGGAGCAGAGAAGGCTTTGGAAAGGGTGACCTAATTGTGGCCTTCCAGGACCTGAAAGGAACCTCCAGGAAAGATGGAAAGAGACCATTTACAAGGGATGGAGGGACAAGACAAGGGGGGAATGGCTTCAAACTGAAAGAGTAGAGGTTTAGATTGGATATTAGGAAGGAATTCTTCCCTGGGAGGGTGGGGAGGGCCTGGAACAGATTGCCCAGAGAAGCTGTGGCTGCCCCTGGATCCCTGAAGTGTCCAAGGTCAGGTTGGACAGGGCTTGGGGCAACTTGGACAGGTGGAAGGTGTCCCTGCCCACGGCAGGGGGTGGAACTGGATGCTCTGTGTGAATCCCTCTGTTCCCTGCCAGGAGCACAATCCAATGCCTGTGAAGTTTCCCACATTTCAGGAGACTCGACAGTTGGACTTGATGGTCTTAAAGGTCTCCTCCAACCTTGATGATTCTATGATGATTTTATGATTCCAGGGCCAGAGGTCACAAAAACATGCCCAGCCCTGAGGAGGAGAAGTTTGTTTTTCAGCAGGGGAAAAAAGGCTGCAGAGGATGCAGGTTGGGAGAAATCCCCAGGGAAAAGCGATTGAAGCTGGCAGTGTGTGTGTACCCAGGAGAATCAAACAGCCAGGAGATCAAAGTCTGGGCTTTAAATAGAAGTTTGTGACCATCAGAGGATACCAAACAGCCTTTCTGGAGGCCTGCAGGAAGGAGTGTTTTATTGGCCTGGTGGCAGAGCTTGCCCAGTTTATGGGAGGGTGTGTAGGACGCATTTCACAAGCAGGACTGTCCTTGCAGTCCTGTGCCTTGGAATTTTATAACTCCCTGCTAAAACAACCAGTAAAGATGTAAAATGACACGTGTGATTCAATACAGGAGTGGATCCTTTTATATAAAATCAAGGCCAAGTAGACTGAGAGCGATTTTACACCCAGTGGCTTTTGGTGAGGGATTTTCACTTGGTTTTAGGCATCTCTCGTGTGTTCTGGCATCTGTTCTAGGATGTGATGAATCCTGTTCAGATTGTCTTGCCTGCTGACAAAATCTTTGCTTACTGTGAGGGGATTCTTAGTGAGCAGCTCAGCTGTGTTGGAAATAATCACATTTATCAGATGATCCCTATTTTGATGTCTTGGAGGGGCCAAACGAGGTGAAATCCCAACTCTGTCATTAGAAGGGATGAATCTGTCCATTCACACACAGAGCTGCATTTCAGGATGCCAAACTTTCACCTGGGTATTTGTTAGATGATCTTTCCAGCCTTTTGACCACCCCTAAGATGCTCAGTTTGAGGCACTACTAAAAAAATCCTCTGAAAAACTTGTTGCTGTGCAAGTGATGAGATTCACCTGCTAGGTAATAATGTACAAAATTCCTCATCTCAGTGCAGAAGGACCTCAAACTCAACTCAGCTCAATGTGCTATTCCTGGGAAGGGGCTATTAAAGACTTTTTTTGCTGGGTTTTGTCTTGTTCCAGAAGGAATTTTGGTTATTCCTCCCCTTAGCACACAGCTAAGGAGAAAGTGCTGCTGGATTGACTCAGACACAGATGTTCCCTGGGTGCTGACTGGTGAAATTTGGAGTTTTAGGTGTCCAGTGTCCACCTTTCCTTGCCAGAAATGTGCCCTTCTCGTGGCTGGGAACATTGGATAAAACACCACAAATGGCACAGATCATGGAATGGGAATCATTAGTTTGGGATGCCTTAATTTCCCACTCTCAGCTTGTTTTAATCTCACAGTTGCAAACTTTGCCTTGATAACCATAATTACTGCAAGCACAGCAGCACTTTTCCTGTATAGCTGGAGTAAAATAAGGACCAACAAATTTTTTATATAGATATATAGATATTTTTATGACTGGGACTTACAAAAGCACTGCAGGTGGACAGAGCAGTAGGAAATGCAGTATTTTGGCAGCACCCACAATTTAAATTCACAGGAATTTTCGAGAGCCAGTGCCTCTGGGAGTCCTTTGCTGGGCACCTGCAGGATCAGCTCAGCCAAGGCTTTGCTCTCTGGCTCTTCAGAGCTGCTTTTCTGGTGGCATCTCCCACCAGTGCCGTGTAAAACAATTAATCAGGTAAATTCCAAGGCGCTTTGTAGTTTCAGGAGCTTGTAACAAATAGAGCTTCTCAGTCCTCTGCATTATTTTTAAAATGTGTGGGGAGAACTTTTTGTGGCCTTTCAGCACCTGCAGACTCGCAGATGGAGGTAAATCCCTCTCTGTGAAGTGGGGCTGAGCTCCTCAAGGCTTGCTGCAAGGCAGGTCTCACCCCTGCCCTGCTTCCTGCTGGCTTGCCTTTCTTTATGTGGCACACAGGAGCATTTTGGGGTTTGCTTTTAAGAAAGCTTCACTTCTCCAGGGCTGTGTCTTACAAACAGTTCAGCTGAAACTGAA